CATTTTAATTTAGAAAGGTTCAAATTTTTGGGGTTAATTTTCAAAGGTTGAAATTTATTGGGTTTTTTATTTTGTGGTTAGGTAATCGTTTTAATTTAGATTTTACTTATATGTAGATATGTTAATTTTGAATTTGCACCTTGAATAAACTATCATTTACTTTTCGTGGTACATATTCAACATAGAAAATATACATAATATATGTTCACTTTGAACTGGCATATTTTGTAATATATCAGTTACTTTTCGTGGTAGATATAATATAAATATAATAAGAGACAAGGAGGACGAAGGAATTAAATTATACAAACATCATAAATTTTCATCCTTTTCCTTCCTGCTTCTAAAGGAAAATTATGTAAACAAACTTTAATAATGTAGGATAGTTAAATTAAGGAGCGTACTTTTATTTTATAATAATATCATAAGTTTGTAGAATCATAAGTTTGTAAAACCATTTTTTCGTTATTTTATATTGTTTGTAAGACGCGCGATTAAGCGAGGAGGTCGAGATACGTGCGATCGACAATTTCCGTGAAAATTCGGAAAGGAACCAGAAGCGGGCGCGCGGAGCGAACATTATGGCGGTAGCTAGCGAGCGAGTAACAAGCGCGTTGTGTTCGGTGAATAATAAACAGCTCATCTTTTTCCTATTAAATCACGTCTCGTGTATTCAACACCCAAATACATACCACTAATCTAAAAAAGATTCCACAATAATAATATACACATAATATATATATTATAAGATAAAAAGGGGAGTACGAAGTAATTAATATAGAGACTGTTGAGTAAACGGCGAATGAGACGCCACGAGCATGTGCCCGTCACACGTGCCACTGGGTAATCCGTCAGTAGCGATGTGGTCGAGGAAAGTAATTGACTTCCTCTTATTTCACATTAAATTTATTACCGTTCACTAGGATACAAAATTGTGTTGGAGCGAAGGAAATCACACGTCGAATGCTCTCGAAAGATTTCGTTGTTGTCGTAACGGAAAACGGACTTGTACTCCCTCTGTACGTACACAAGAGCTCTGTACGCCCTCTCTAATAATGCGTGTCGCGCCGAAAGCAACTAGACATGCGATCATGACGCGAGACCGTGCATGCCGCGAATACAATCCTCGCGGACGGTGAATAATACATAGCTTATGCCTTAAACTATGAAAACGTGAAGTAGATAATGAAAATTTGACTAATTATTATACAACGCCGCCGCCCTTGAAAGGCTCCGCTTTCAAAATGTAAACGAAAGATGAAACAAGAAAGAGGAAACGGCAACTGGATCGTCACCGCAACGCAAGCTCTCAGAGCCTTAAGAAGTTAGAAACGAATTAACGTTGAGAGTTGACAAAATGTGCGACGCTGCATGCTTGATATGTGCAAACGCAAACAATTTTGATGTGCTTAACCTAAGTTAAGTATAATAACATGATAAAGTTGTGCGCGAAAACAGAACATATTTAATGTCTAGCGTTTATCACTGGAGTCATCTATAGGTAATATCGCTATTCTAGTTAACGGTCTTGTAAGAATGCTCTTTGCTGTTTTTATCTCAGCGGTTCTTACAACGCCGTCTGTGCCTGGATGGACGCTTTGTACGCGCCCTAACAGCCAGTGCAGAGGGTGTAACCCCTGCTGTTTTATTAGTACGACTTGACCGATCTTAGTTGATCCCCCTTCCATTTGGAACGTGCTTGTAAGGTGTGGAGGTATTTTGAACTCCATCGTCGCCAGAAATGTTGCCTCAATTGTTCTACGCGTTACCAACGAACGAGCCTATTTTCGTTTATGTCGCTCAAATCGTGGCAAGGAAAACTGTCTACGGTAGTGCCGATTAGAAAATGTCCGGGGCTCAAATAAGCGAGGTCATTGGGGTCTTCGCTCAATGGAGCGATGGGGCCTGAATTTAATATCGCTTCTATATCGCATAAAATAGTCTGCATCTCTTCGAAAGTTAGTTGAGCATTGCCGATTATACGATATAAGTGGATTTTGCAGACTTTATCGCGGCTTCCCAAAGTCCTCCACAATGTGGAGCGTTGGGTGATATGAAGTTCCATGTTATTCGCTGTTCGCGCAAAAATAACTAGATTTCATTTTGTGTGCACTCTTTTTCAAGAAAATTAGAGAATTCGCGCAAACGATGACGGGAACCTACGAAGGTAGTGCCATTGTCTGACCACATGTGGGAAGGCTTCCCTCTGCGCGATATAAATCTTTTGAAGGCTGCTAAGAACATGTCGGTGGTTAAATCACTAACTAGTTCTATGTGTACCGCTTTAGTAGCGAAGCATACGAACATGGCGATGTATGCTTTGTGAGTGTGCGCGTTTCTGCGTTTCCCCTCTCGTAGGGTTAACGGACCGGCGTAGTCCACGTCGCAATACGAGAATGGTCGGGAAAAAGTGATGCGACTAAGGAGCTCATAATGGTTTCTGAATGAACAGGCTTAACCTTAAAACATTTAACGCACTTTAAAATGATTTTTCGTGTTAGAGATCGCAATGCTAGAGGCCAAAATTGCTGTCGGACGGCGGTCATCGTAGCCTGGGTGCCGGCATATAAGCTACGTACATGCGCTTGCGTGATGATTCGTCTTGATAGTTCGTGATTTTTCGGTAGCAGTACCGGGTGACGCGCGTCCTGTGTTATATTTGAATGTTTTAATCGACCTCCAACTTTAATTAATCCATCGTCGAGAAATGGATTGAGTGTCAAAATCCCGCTGGATGTATTGAGGCTCTTGTTGCTGCTCAAGGCTTTGTACTCCTCGGGAAAGGAATGCTGTTGCACGATCCTACACATTAGTTGCAATGCTGCCGTGGTTTCTTCGTGAGAGACGAAATGTGTTGTAATGCCTGCAGGTCTTCGTAAGAACCTCAAGCAATATGCCACAACGCGACAGGCTCTGTTAAGGTTTGAATGATTGTTGAGTGTCTTCTACGACACTGGTGTCAACGACTGCAATGTTAACGTATATTTTTCGAAGTTCGGAGGTGTCCTCCTGACGTAGAAATTGCTTGGCGAGCCAGAAATTCTCATTGTGTTGTAGAAAGTCGGGACCCTTCCACCAAGTGGTTGCATGAAATAAATCGCTTGGATTTGAACCTCGTGAAAGTAAGTCGGCTGGATTTTGACTGGACGGTACGTGTCGCCAATCCGTCGCTTGAGTCAACCGTTGTATTTCTCCTATGCGGTTTGCGACGAAAACTGAAAACATGCCTGATTCTGAGGATATCCAGCTCAACGTAATTGTTGAATCCGACCATAGATACACCTTGATGTCAGACGTATTTATTGACAATCGAACCTTGTCCATCAGCCGTGCCAGTAGAAGCGCTGCAGATAGTTCCAGCCTTGGCAATGATACAGCCTTCAACGGCGCAATTCTTGATTTGGAGCAAAGTTCTAAACGATACTTGTTCGCATCGAGCTGAGTCCGTATGTACACGCAGGCTCCATGTGCATTTTGACTGGCATCATAGAAGCCATGTATTTGTATATGTTGACGGTCAATGCTGTATTTGACACGTCTGGGAATCGCTAGTCGGTTGAGCTCCGTCAACTGCGACTTGAAGGTGATCCATCGTACGTGTAAGTTCTGAGGAACTGACTTGTCCCAAGCGATGCCTGCTCGCCAGAGATCTTGCAGTATTAACTTGGCGATGACGATGATCGGACCAAGTAAGCCTAACGGATCGTATAATTTGGAAGCGTCCGATAGAATTTTCCGTTTTGAAATTGCGTCATGTGACATGACAGGGTCGTATGAAAAATGTAACGTGTCTGTGTTGGCGTTCTATTTGATCCCCAAGATGTGAGCGCTTTCGTCGTCGTCGATGACAACGGGTTTGTCATTTCTATTGGGTGTTGCGTCCAGCAATTCTGGGGTGTTGGAAGCCCATTTTCCAAGCTCAAATGCGCCTAGCCTCAGTAGTTCGATTGCTTCATCTCGAAGAGTCTCCGCTTCTTGGATGGTGTCTGCACCGGTTAGTAGATCGTCGACATAGAAGTCGCGCCTTATACACGCTGATCCAATGGGAAACGTGGATGAATGATGATCGGCTAGATGTTTAATGCACCTGGTTGTGAGAAAAGAAGCCGATGACGTGCTATAGGTCACTGTCATCAGTTCGTATGTCTTGATGTCCGCCTTGGAGTCGCTGCGCCACAAAATTCTTTGAAGAGATGTTTGCGAAGGGTGTATAAGCACCTGTCGGTACATTTTTATAATGTCTGCGATCAAAGCGTGAACGAAGGTGCGGAATCGCATCACGATTGACATCAAATCTTGCTGCACCACTGGGCCAACTCTCAAGACGTCGTTTAATGATAATCCTGTGTCGCTCTTACTTGAAGCGTCGAAAACGACACGAATCTTGGATGACTGTTTAGCGCCCTTGAAGACGCCATGATGAGGCAAGTAGAAAGATGCTGTATCCTCAAGTGGAGACACGCTGACTTCCTTCATGTGTCCTAGTTTCAAATATTCGTCCATGAAGTGGACATATTGGTCCCTTAAGTTGGGATCTCGTATGAACCGACGCTCTGTTCCTTGTAAGCGTCGCAATGCGATGTCCCTTGTGTTGCCAAGGTTGCCGATTAATTCTTCCTTGATTGGAAGTTCTACTATGTATCTACCCTGTTCGTTCTGGTCAACGTTAGCTTCGAAATGCTCCTCGCAGTAAGCATCGTCCTTGTTGTTCACGACTTGATTGCCGAGATGTTCAATTTGCCAGAACCGTGTTAGTTGATCGTGCAGTTGAGCATTGGATATGACTGTGGTGAATGCTCGCACGTTTTCTGCAGGCGCCGCTGTGATGCTGCGACGTCCAGCCAGAATCCATCCTAATCTTGTTTTTTGCAGAGTTGGATGGCTGTGAGTGGCCTCGATTTGTCCTATGCAAAGTAGCTCCCAAAATATTTCTGCTCCGATCAAAGTGTCGACCTTGGAGGAAACGTTGAAATGGGGGGCCGCTAGCTGAGGTTTCGAGGAATGTTGTAGTCTCCACGCCTTGAAGTAGCCAGTGGAAACTTCTCGGTTATCCGCTCTGTTACTATGCAGTCTATCATCCTACAATAAGAATTTAATCTGGATTGCAGTGTTACCTTGGTCGCCATTGTAGCATTTGATGAGGTACTGTTGACAGCAGATATTGTGACGTTTAGCGGGCGTAGCGGTAAACCAAGAGTTGCGGCGAGTTGTCTAGAAATGAAACTTGCTTGAGATCCAGAATCTAGTAAAGCTTGACATGAATGTGATGTGCCATCGGAGGCAATGACATTGACCACAGCTGTGGAAAGCATGATGTGATCTTTGCCTTGAATGTTCGACGAATGTGTCGTTACGGCTGTCGTGGAATTTCGTAAGCTTGATTCCCCTGTGCCGGAAGTGCCGGAGTGATCCTCCGCCGAGCTGGTGCTCGTATACAACAACGTATTATGTTTGACATTGCAAATTTTGCAACCTCTAGATGTGCATTTGTCCAATGAATGCATCGGAGAGCGGAGACAGTTGACACAAAGTTTACGATTGCGTACCTCTACCGCCCTTTGCTTGATTGGCAGTGCCAAAAACTCCTTGCAGTAATACATGGGATGCTCGCCCTTGCAATAGTTGCACTTGGATTTGACTGTTGCTGCACATGTGGATTGTCGTTTTGCGTTGGTTTGTGAATTTTTGTTAGTGTCCTTGGAAGCGAGACTGACCTTGTTTGTGGTCTCTAATACCAAACAATGTTGAGAAATAAAATTTTTAAATTGTTTAAATGTGGGAGTTTCAGTACCTGTTAAAGAGGACTGCCATTCTCGTAATGTACGTGGATCGAATGTATACTAACAGATCGTCCCAGTGCGCCGTGGGACATTTAAGTGCCTTGAGGGCTTGTACATGTCGGATTGCCCCGTCCGCGATTCGACGCAGCTCGGTTGAATCTTCCTTGGTGAGCGAGGGTAAATCTAATATTGCTTTAATGTGTGTGTGAACGATCATTCGTCTGTTATCATAACGTTCCTTTAAAATATCCCATGCTATTTGATAATTTGCGGCAGAAATTTCCAATGCACTGATTACGCCACTCGCGTCACCGGTAAGTGTAGACTTTAAGTATTGTAATTTTTGTACGTCGCTGATTGACGCGTTTGAATGTATAATTGAATTAAATGAATCGTAGAATGGAAACCATTAGTAGAGGTACTATGGGGATTCGAGATACACGCGTGTTAGTGCGTGTGCGTGTACGTATATGCGATACGGTGTGTGTGTGTGTGTGTGTGTGTGAGGCTATGGAGGGGGAGCCGGGCCGCTGCCCGCTGCCGCCGCCGCCGCCGCCGCCGAAATGTTTACGCAAACATTTTTTGTCATGAGATGCAACAGTCCCTTTCTTAAATTCTTTTAAGTCTTTTTTAAACAATAAACATCAATAAGAATTAGATATACTAGACCGATCCTAGATCGGGAACTCCGAGAAAAAGGGCAGCGCGGGGAAGGTATGGGGAGGAGAAAGGGCAGCGCGTGTCCAGGACTTCACATTCCTTTGTTGAAATGTTTTACTTAGACACGTATTCAAAACGTGCTAGCATCGTTGTTAGCACGTTCTGAATATGGATCATAAACTTTTTTTTCATCGCTTTTTCTAGACTTTTTTCTCTATGCGATGGCATCATCGCGTGAAAAAATAAATCGGGCATTTTCGTCACCGTCTCCCACAGCGCGCTATACTTACCACGTGTATACTTACCAAATATACTCACCGTCTCTCTCTTACTGATATCATCTTCTTCTTCTTATGCAGCTTCCATCTCAAAGATTTTTCTTTTACATTTTGTTTTAAGCAATTAATCATAATTCGACTTATTTCTATTATTTTTTATTCTAATGAATTAATAGTAATTTAAAGAGCGCATATTTTATAATATATAACTACCGCATGAGATAACGATGTTGCACGCAGTTGTCGGCACGTGGTATAATATAACGCGATACCGCGCGAAGGAAGGAAGGAAGGAAGGAAGGAGAATAAATGTGAATATTATTATACTATTTAAAATTACTATTTAATTAATAAGAAATATACATGTGCGTGCGTGCGTGCGTGCGTGTGTACACATATGTGATATGTGTGTGTATGTGTGTGAAGCAGTGGAGCCGCCGCCACCGCTGCCGCCGTCGCTGCTACCACCGCTGTCGCCACCGCCGCCACCACCAGGATGAAGGATACTGTTGCAAAAAAAAAAAAGCGAACGCCAACAATAAGTCATACATCGTTAGGAAGATAAATGTTATATAAATTTTACTTACTCATAGCTGCGGCATACTCCCCCGGTTGATTAGTCGACCTCCTCCAATTCATTCTCCTCCTCGCCCACCAGATGCACGAGGAGGTGGTACAACTCCACCTCGTCGTTAACATGCATTAAATGCATGGCGAATCGAACGAGGTCATCGGGGTCGACTTCCTTCAAATTAATGGGGAAGGGGGGAGGATCTTCCTCTTCTTCCTCCTCGTCAACGTTTTCCTCCTCGTCAACGTCGTCCTCTTCCTCCTCGTCATCATCGTCGTTGTCTTCAACGACAACGTCCTCCTCCACCTCCATCGCCTCCTCTTCCACACTTTCGAATAATTGTTTTTTGATCGGTTCCAGATTTCTCATATTTCTTTCTCACACACGCACGCACTCAACAAGCACACTTATTATTCTTAGTATTTAATTAATGGCTCCCGTCTCCAAACAATGAAATAGGAGGTTGATACAGTTAGATCACGTCTTTAATGTAAACTGTATAAATATGAAAACGAACGGACGATGCAATGCTCGTATACGAAGGCACTCGGTGTCTGTTCGGACGTTGTCACGTCTCACTAACTGGCATACAGACTGATGAAAGAATACTAACGCTAAAAAGCATTCGTCGCTAGAGCGAAGCCTAGGATTGGTTCATAGGAAAAAATAAATTGTTGCAAAAAATGATCCGAGATTTGAAAAGGATCTATGGTAAGAAAAGAGCTGCAAACAGAGTGTGATAGAGGCATAGGATTCGGTAGGAGAGTAAAGACAGTACGTATAAAATAATGTTACAAAGAATGTTTATTCATAATTTTTTTACACAGTAATTTTTTTGTCCCCTTTTTCTTTCTTACATGTTAAAAACTAAAACCAAGAGCTCACAATCGACGAGCTGACGTTTGTCGAAGATATCGCTCTTGCGTATAGCGTTCGCGACGTTGGAGAAGCGCGTATACTTAGCATCAACCGTATCGATGAGTCTGGATAATCGTTCGAACGTTACATCGACGCATCCATCAAGATTAAACATCCGACGCAGCGTCGATTCGATCATCATCATGTGTACGGTCGAAGATTCGAGTCGTACGAGCGTAACGTCGTTATGCGTGCAGATTCTGATCGTTAGCGGTCCAACGCTTATAAAATTGTCCTTGTACTCGTTTCGCAGCAATTTGTAGATATTCCATCGCTGCTCGTAGAGACCCTTCCACGTTTCGAGAGACAACGATAGTTCGCGTCCGTGATGATCTCCCAGAACGATCTCCACGTAACTCGGTGGATCAACGTTGATTCCAATTTCCAAAAACTTGTAACCCGTAGCGGTCAGGTCGTAACGCCGACTCAGTATACGCACAGCGCACATACGGACGAATCGCGAATCTGGGGCGACAAAAATATTTACTTTTATCGATTTTAATGAAACATGGTATCTAAGGGTTTTTGGGGTTGTTGATTACGAATCTGCCATTAAATTTTTAAAATTCAAAATGGCGGCTCCAGTATGGCGGACGATTTGGAAAGAAAATTATAGACTTTAATGAAACTTAGTATTTAAAGATTTTTGGGGCCGCGAATTACGAATCTGACGGATTACGAATCTGAATTAGATTTTTAAAAATTCAAAATGGCGGATCCAATACGGCGCGGACGATTTGGAAAGAATATTACGGATTGTATCGAAACTTGATATCTGGAGGTTTTTGAGGCCACTGCACTGGTTACGAATCCGACATCAGATTTTCAAAATTTAAAATGGCGGATCCAACAGGGTGCACAGTTGGCTTCCTAAGAACTTCCATAACTATACTTAAAAAAAAATATTAATTTTTTTTTTCAGTTACTAGTTAAAGTTAATCAATGTCAGGTATTGATTCTATTTAAAATAGTAAGAATTATTTATGTATTTTTGTATTAATAAGATAACACAGACAATATACATTTTTTATTTTATTCTATATTAACATTCTCATTGTCTTCAAAATCGTTAAATTCCCGATCATAGTTACTTTCTTCATTACCACAGAAAGTGGGCAGCCTTAGCATGTTTAACACAACTTCATTAAATGGTGCACTATTTTTTTAGCCTTTTTTCGGTTATGTGACACAACAGGGTCAGAAGAAACCAGCATCCAGTTAAATATGTCAGCGTTGATGTTGACTCTTGAAGTTTTTCTGGAGTGATATTGTCTGAATTTCTTATAGTCTTTGTGTCTTGCTTCAAGTACATCTTCTGACAGTAGGCCTACTGGCAAAGGTAAAGATTTTATAATATCAGCTCCATGTATTAAAAGTTTATGAACACTGGCACTCATTTTGTACCAACCGTAACGTGTAATAGCCAATTGAGCTGTTTCAAAGCAATACTTTTTAAATCTGTCTTCCTTGATATAGTGCCCACAAGAAATTATTGAAAGTATATTTGCAAATCTTTCTATCAATTCTTTATCAATTCCAGTTATTTCTGAAACGAGCGAAGGATTCTTAAAAAATGTCCGTGCAGTGTTACCGTCATTGCTATTGCCTCCACCTTGTTTTGGCTGGTCAATGACGAGACCCATTTTTTCATAGAACTTAGTCGCTATTTCAGTCTTTTTTGCATTTACTTCTTTTTTAGCATTATCACCTCTTGCTTGCCATTTTTGTAATTCCAATTTGTAGGCTATATGCAATAAATATTCGTAGCATCGAAGATGCGCATGTAGCACCGAAATACCAAACTTAAATGTTTCTTCATTACAAATTCTATTCTTAAGTTTTTCCAAATCGTTTAAAATTTTAGGGGTAGCTTTGCAAATATTACACACTTGCGAACTTGCAGTATCACTCAAAATGTTGACAGTCTTTCCATCCAGCATTGTACAAATAGGTATATGTTTAAATTTTATTTCTTTGCAAGAACGATTGTTGTGGGCTTCAATTGCAATACTTGATTTTGAATTTCATTGTACTCTTCTCTCACATTTTCGACACTTTCTTTTTTTATCTTGAATGAAATTGGTCGGCAATGCTTGGTCGATGATGGTAACGGGTTCTTCCAAAACATTTTTTCCTTATTGCTATTGGCTTCACACATTTGTAGTGGCACAATCGTACATAAAATTATATTCGAATCCGCATATGCTGAATTATTCTTAAAATTTTGTTTGTATATACTATGTCCACCACTGCCATCTATGCCCCATTTATAATAAATATCAATTGTATCACAGTCATTTGAAAGATATTCTCGTATCACATCAGTTTGAACTTGTACCAAACGTTGCGTAGTATGTGTAAGAAGATCCTGCAGTGGTACTACTGCCTCGTTTTCAGTTACCTTAATATTTACTGGATAACACTTCCCCTTTGCCTCTGTTATCACATGATATGAAGGATAAATATCAGCTCCTCTTTCTTTTGCTCCCAATCGCATCATCATGTAACCCTCTTTTGTCAATCTAAGATCCACCATAAGAGCTAAAGCTTCTTCGGAATCATAAGGTTTTACAGCAGCAGAGGATGATGTATCATGTGCCAATTTCATTTTTTTTAATGTTGTGGGCGAAGAATTGACAGCTAATTTTACAACTTCAGCTGCACTTCTCTTACCTGATTTCGTCAATTTTGATTGTGCAGCTAAACACAGTTTTTCAAAACTGGAATCTGATACTTACTTATCTCTGCTCTTACTTATCTCTGTTTACTGCGTTGAGAACTTTCTTCGAACGATTTTCTGGGTCTGCCTTTCATCTTTTCATCTGAACAATTTTCTGATGATAATGGTAGCTGTATATCTGGTAGTTTTAAGTCTTTATCCAGTCATTTTATATGCTTATTGGTAAAGCGCTTATATGTATAATTACACTCACTCCATTTCGTAAACATCTTCGTAACAAAAACTTTAAGTTCCTTTTTTATTTGTTTTTTGCAATTCTCAGAAAGTTCGCTAACACTAAACTTATCCAAAATATACTGCAATAATACTTCATTACACTTCAATCTCGAGGAATGGTAGAATTGTTGTTTTCTTAGCACTTCAAATAATTCATTCCTTTTCACTTTTATCTCCTTTAAAGAACAGCAGTCACTACTATCTGAGAAAAATATAACACATAACACATATAACACATAACACATTATAACACATTATTGATGTATTTTGATATCACGAATTTTTCTCTGTGTCAAATCTGTGGCAAAAATTGTCATTTTTCAGTGTTTAATATAACTTGTCACTTATTCTTTCTAGTCAATATTTAAAAGAAAATATAAGTAAAGTAAACAAATAATCTGTAAACATACCGTCAAGTTTGAGAGGTTATATGATGAATTATTCAATTTTGAATTTCGCAATTCTGACATCAGAATCGTGATCAGTAATCCCGAAAACCTCCGAGTAATAAGATTTAGGTAAATTCACTGAATTATGTCGTCTATCGAATTCATATTTCCACCATATTGGATTCACAATTTTGAATTTTAAAAATCTAATGTCAGGTTCATAATCCGCGATCCCAAAAACCCTTAGCTATCAAGCTTCATTAAAATGTATAATTTTCTTTCCAAGTATTCCGCCATATTGGATCCGCCATTTTGAATTTTAAAAATCTACCTTCACATTCGTAATCAGCGACCCCAAAAACCCCCCAGTACCTATGATTTTAACAATTTATTCATCAGAAAGATGTGTCCCTGAATGTTTTAAAGCAGAGTTGTTACTACTACGTAAGAAGAATATGTTCTATTTAATGAAGGGGGAAACGGGGGGACACGCACTTGACGTTTTTACATTCATTTTTTGTTGTTGTTTCGAACTTTTAAAGATTTAACCTGGAACTTCATGGAACTTTTTTTATAACCATACCTAAAGAAAATATTTCAATATGTCTCAAACGGAAATGTCTACTATATCTATATCACGTATAATCGTTATTTTTATAATAATTGCACATTAAATTACTTACTTTATGCCTGAAAATCCATGTAAAAATCTTAACTGGTCAATTCAAAAAAATTATAACCTGTAGCAACTGAAAAC